TCTCCCCACTCTCTGTTCTTGTCTCACTGAAATCATTCTCCCCACACTCTGTTCTTGTCTCACTGAAATCATTCTCCCCACTCTCTGTTCTTGTCTCACTGAAATCATTCTCCCCACTCTCTGTTCTTGTCTCACTGAAATCATTCTCCCCACTCTCTGTTCTTGTCTCACTGAAATCATTCTCCCCACTCTCTGTTCTTGTCTCACTGAAATCATTCTCCCCACTCTCTGTTCTTGTCTCACTGAAATCATTCTCCCCACTCTCTGTTCTTGTCTCACTGAAATCATTCTCCCCACTCTCTGTTCTTGCCCCCCCCCCCCCGTGTCTCACTGAAATCCATTACCAGTTGAACAACCTAAGCCCCTATTTAAAATAATCTCCTTGTGTGGTTGAACACATTCTTGCTGTCGTTACCTCTCCATCACACCCCTACCACACCCATGTGAATCCCCCACCCCCACCCCGTACCACTCAGGCAACTAGGAGATTATCTAAGCAGTAACGAAAATTCCTGGAAATGATAGCTTTGTAGTTTTGTGTTCCAGGAATTTTTAAAAAATATTTCTGTAGTAACACTACACGGCTGCCAAGTTTGACGTATTTTATTATTTAAAATTGGTGTTAAATGTAGAGATTGGCTGCTTATGATGTTAATCCCCATATCTTTTGTTATAAACATGTCGTAGGCCGACTTTGTGAACGGTGTCAGTTATAACGATTTTTAAAAAGTAACGTAAACTTGTGCTAGCGTTACTGAAGACGTGTGCATATAGCGCAAACAGGTCAACTAAAGTCTGGTGGACAGACAAGTCAAAGTCTGGTGGACAGACAAGTCAACTAAAGTCTGGTGGACAGACAAGTCAACTAAAGTCTGGTGGACAGACAAGACAACTAAAGTCTGGTGGACAGACAAGACAACTAAAGTCTGGTGTACAGACAAGACAACTAAAGTCCGGTGGACAGACAAGTCAAAGTCTGGTGGACAGACAAGTCAACTAAAGTCTGGTGGACAGACAAGTCAACTAAAGTCTGGTGGACAGACAAGACAACTAAAGTCTGGTGTACAGACAAGTCAACTAAAGTCTGGTGGATAGACAAGACAACTAAAGTCTGGTGTACAGACAATACAACTAAAGTCTGATGGACAGACAAGACAACAAAGTCTGGTGTACAGACAAGTCAACTAAAGTCTGGTGGATAGACAAGACAACAAAGTCTGGTGTACAGACAAGACAACTAAAGTCTGGTGGACAGACAAGTCAAAGTCTGGTGGAGAGACACGTCAACAAATGTCCGGTGAACAGACAAGACAACAATGTCTGGTGGTCAGACAAATAAACAAAGTCTGGACATAACAAGTCAACAAATCTAGACAGAAATGTCAACAAAACTCTACACAGACAAGTCAATACATTTTGGGAAGCTATAAAATAATTTTCACTGTGGCGGGGCTAGATTTTAAACCAACAAAGGCCTTTTGTAAAGGGATGTATCGTTCATCTGAAGCGATGGCAGTCTTCGTTAGAATAATTTGAGAGGGGGTTCTAGAATAATTTAAGCTACGGGGAATACATAGATACGGCAGTTCTTCTTTGTTATCTATATACTACTAAAAGTCAAGTTTGTTTACATGTTTGAATATTTATTTTTTTGTTTTTTTGTTTGTTTTTTTGTTTGCCTGATTGACTATTGCTCATGGTTGCACTCATCGTGGAAAGCTGTAAAATAGTATGTAGGTAGAGAAATTTTTTTGTTTTAAGACAGACTGTTAATCACAAATTTATTTAAAGACGTTAATTAATTTATTGATTTATTCATTGTTAAATTAACCGTATTTTTTAAAAATGTTAATACTTTGAATAAACTTTGTGGGGATAGTGACGTCCCTTGATGTGTTTACTTTTTTGGTACAATAAAAATGGCGGACTCCATCATAGACTTTGTGGCCCATTCGAAAGTTTAACACGTTACAAAGCTAATTTTCTGCCGGCTATAACTTAAACAATACGTCCGTTTGCTGTATTTATTACGTTCCAACACTTATATCAATTTTCAACTGTCTTTTTCATTTAGTTTTACGATAAATTTCTCTAGATCTAAAGATCAGCTGTCGAAGGAAAGTTATTTATAGATCTAGATCTAGAATCTAGAATCTAAAAATCTAGGTCAAATCAAAGATTTATTAGTTATAAATACAATAAAAAAAACTAAACTTTAGCAAACCAGTCGTAGATCTAGAATATAGATAATTTTATCTAGATTTAGATAATAATGAGTTTCTATATACTAAACTATTTTAGACCTTTATTATTTTATATAAATCTTTGTTTGTATAGCTATGAAATATGCTAATTAGGAAATGCTGGATTTTGGATAACTTAAGATTCATACGCGGCTTCTATACCGCTAAGTGTGCAAAATTATAGACGTAAACTCTAGATATAGCTCAGTCGTAGATCTAAAATATAGATATTTTTCTATCTAGATTAGATAATAATGATTTTCTATATACTAAACTATTTTAGACCTTTATTATTTTATATAAATCTTTGTTTGGAATATGGTAATTTTGAAATGCTCGCTCCGGGCCTATAAGCGTAGCTAATGATTAGATTAAGATTCTAGGTCTAGCAAGAAAAACTAAACATAAGAAGACTTAAGCAAAAGAGTCGTAGAATCTAGACTAGATCTAGATAATTCTATCTATATCTAGATAATTTCAGACCTTCTTTATTTTATATAAATCTTTGTTTGGCTAATTTAAGATAAAATTTAATTTGAAAGTTACTACTACTAGAGTTAGAACTAGATCTATGCGCGTAAGGAGACTCAAAGTATAGTATAAAACTTCACTTGTAATGTCACGAGTAAATAGCTAACTTGGTAGTGCGGTCGACATATGTTGGAGCGCCAAAATGGTTTGGAAAAATAAATTGAAAGGTTGAGGGGGGTTCAAATGGAAAGTTTGAGTGGGGGGTGGGGGTGCACATCAAAAGTTTGAGGGGGGGGGGTTGAAAACCGAAATCTTGGGGGGGGGGTTCAAATCGAAAGTTTATCCCCGGGAAGGGTCGCTATGACTCTGAGTGACAGACGTGATGTTTTATGATGGATGACCCCCGAAACCCACAGTTATCCAACGGATGACGGGTATTCTAGTTTATTATAATTCTTAGAAAATGGGCTAAAACATATCGGCGGGTACATTTAGTTGAAGACAAAAATAGAAGACTATTTATAAATAAGTCAACTGAAATTCTTTTCTGTTCGCAAAGCACCCCTACACGTATGATAACGGAATGAAGACGAGTTTAGGAAAGAAAGAAGGTTTTAAACTTTAAATTATTGGTCGCATTTTTCTTACACTCACTTAAAAAAATCAAATTAAAATAATTAACATTTACTTGGCTCTGATGTAAAAAAAAAAAAGCACGTAGCCAAAATGGAAATTCGACAGACAATGGTAGCCGAAATTGGAACTTTCATTTAACAATTAGGGATACAAAAAAGTGTCGGCGATTCTATTTTGTATTCAATTATGTTCCTAGTTTTTAATCCACCCCACTTTTTTAAAGATACATTTTAGATTGTAGGAGTTTTGTTCCTTTCGTTTAACCCAATAACAACGTAGTCTGGTTTAGCCAATCATTTTCAAAAGTCAGAGTCTCTTTGTTCATTTTATCCTTCCCTGGACTACACAGAATTATTTTTTTTTATTTTAAAATTTCTTTTCTTCTCTTAAATCTTGAGTAATGTTGATATTGATTTAGTTTTGTGCTTGTAATTACAGATAATGAGGAGTTTGTGTTTGTTCAGCTGGCCGTCTGACGCTTGCTATTCATAGACCGTCCAAAAAAAAAATTTAAACAGAAAAAAATAATATTGGAAAAAATGTGATTGTGTTTGTTCTTTTTATAATCTGTTATTTATTAAGACAGCGCTTTTAAACAGGAATTTTAATGAGTTTACAAAGTTTTTTTTTACCACAAATGTAGACGGTATGTATTATCTGCTTAAAATATCTGGGCAATGTATTGTAAGGTTATTTAATGGCCAGATAATATTCAATAGTCCAAGTAAAGATATTGTTGTTACCGGTATAATTATCTTATATATAGCTGCTAAACTTGTCGGATGACAGGCAAAAGTTTGTTTTTAATTATTTATGTTTTGTTAGATATTCCGTAGGATATGATTTATAGAAACATCACGACGCGACAAAATATGAACTAATATTTTATCCAAATAGAGTACTTTTGACTCTATGGTATCGTTAAAAATCTGTCCATTTCTCTTAATGGCTTATTTATATCAATTTTAATACAGACTTAGCCAATGTATAATAGGCTGCAGTACGCCACATAAACCACTCTAGCACCATGTTCTCTCTGACCCTCTTCCGCCCCCCACTTCACACACCAAATGACGACCCCCGGACCGTCTTTAACGTACCACTCACCTACTGAGTCAAAAAACACATAGTATAACAATTATTACTGTTCACCATTTCACTGTTTTTTAATTAATAAAATGTTAAGTAGTAGGCCAATTAATATAGGATAGTTATATTCACCAGTTGTAACCCAACTTTACCTTCTAACATTAGCGCAGCGTAAGACCCTTTATCCTGCAACCTATATTATGCGACTCTTATTTCAACCAGATGGAAAAAATCTAAAGCCTGTCAGACAACAGGATAGTTTAAATTTTAAAATCATTGAATATTTTCTTGTTCATAATATGTTCATTCCATTGTTTTTTCCGTACAATGATATCACTGTAAGACTTCTAAATTTAAATCATTTTGATAGTAGCCTATTCATATACGAAACTAATAAAATGCATTTTCATCTGCGCTTGCGTCAATGTTAGCCTATATAGATTTAACATAGAATTGTAGAAGTCTAGAGATAATGTTGTTGTAGTGAAAAGTTTCATTTAACCGCCCCAGCTGGTGAGATGAGACGATACTAAATGGTCTCGTTTTGTTATCGTCTTGCAGGTGAAGATCAACATTTTCATCTACGTTTGCGTCAATGTTATCGGCATATTTTTCCACTACCCAATGGAGGCCCAGCAGAGAGAGGCCTTTCTGGAAACACGAAACTGTATCAGTGTCCGGCTGGCGACACAGAAGGAAAACCAGAAGCAGGTCAGTGCTTTTTTATGCTCAGTTTAAGTGTGGAAGCAACGGATTAATTGGAGTGAGGCGAGTCGGTTTATATAGATCATTTACAAACAGAATTATTAGAAGAAGGTCATTTTAAATTGGTTGTCATTATTAGAAGCAGCTCATTTTAAATTGGTTGTCATTATTAGAAGCAGCTCATTTTAAATTGGTTGTCATTATTAGAAGCAGCTCATTTTAAATTATCAGGAATTATTAGGGGCAGGTCATTTTATATTAGATGTCATTATTAGAAGCAGTTCGTTTTAAATTGGTTGTCATTATTAGAAGCTTCTCATTTTAAATTGGATGTCATTATTCGAAGCTGGTCATTTTAAATTGGATGTCATTATTAGAAGCTTCTCATTTTAAATTGGATGTCATTATTCGAAGCTGGTCATTTTAAATTGGATGTCATTATTAGAAGCAGTTCGTTTTAAATTGGATGTCATTATTAGGAGCAGCTAGTTTTAAATTGGATGTCATTATTAGAAGCAGCTAGTTTTAAATTGGATGTCATTATTAGGGGCAGGTCATTTTAAATCAGTTGGCTCATTAACAGTGTGGACGTTTTATATCAGATGGCAAATTACAAGCAGGTCATTTTTTAATTAGCTCAGTTAAAAACAAGTCAATTTTCAGCATAAAAAACAACTACTAATTGGCTTAATTAGAAGCTAGTAATTTTGCTAATACAATTAAAGAGATGTTATTTCTAAACTAGTTGACTTTATGCAAATAAAGAAAGTGTTTTCTTTCTGAGTTTTTCTATCGCTTATTAAGTTTGTTGAAGACAAATCCCGCTTCAAATCTGTAATGTAATTATTTTTGCCATTAGTGAAAAAGAGGTCATTAAAGTACCATCCACCAGTCCGCTTAATGTGGGTTCAGTTCTAGTTTTGACCCGTGTAATTGTTGCCCGGCACCCGTAATTATATTAGTGGGTAATAATTTGATTTTGTTTTAAGCTCAGATTTTAAATAGAATTAAAGTGAAATTGTAGCGTAAAGTTAAAATCACGGGACTTATACCTGACGGAACTAACAGCAAATAAATTTTAATGTATGTGAACGAAATCACCCATGACTTTAACCTTTAATGCAGACGTTGCTACTTTTAAAACTACCATAGTAATTTATTTGATTGTAAAAAAATGTATATGTAATTTATGGTGAAAAATTGGAATGTTTTAAAGCACTGCATTGTGAGCAGTATTAATCTGAAGCGATTGAATCGACGTTACTCACTCTTAGCTTAGCAGACATCAATAACAAAGCATGAATACAAATACAAGATCAAGACAGAAATTAAAGGCCTGTAGATCGAATGCAGTCGTTTTTACGGAACGTTTGCCGGCGTGCCGGCTTTTCTCCACTTGATCAGCTTTTAGAAAGCAGCTTACGGTTACACTAGACTGGCCGGAAAAGTTTGATCATTACCGGCATCCTCTTTGGCGTGAAGTTCTAATCCCTATTGATGCAATAATTTGAGCAGAGTTGGGCCTTAACAAGCACACATGAAAGGGCCGACCGTCTCGCAGATCGCGACCCTCGAGTTAGGCCGGTGCCGGTCATTATGCTGGTAATTATATCAGCCACAGACTGGAGATCTCTCGCTTCAATTAACCGGTTCAAAATTGTGGGAGTTGCTCAAATAGCCAACTGTATATTGCCCTGATTGATTAGAGACGAGGCAGACTGTTTCGTTTTGTGCTGATGTCAGAATTTAAGTTTTAGCTTCATTCCTGTCCCATCCTACAATACCTGTATTTCACTCAGCTTAATTCCTAGCCCATCCTCTACTATTTATTGCTACATGACTTATCACAACATTTTACAAAGTTGTGTCATATTTAAACAGGCTAGTATGTGTTAGCTAAAACCAATAAACCATATTTGTTTTCCTGTACAATTGAATAATAATGAAATATGACAATCAAGACAAAATAATAAAAAATGATATTTGTATCACAAATTTCGTACATTTCAAAATAGTTGGTAAAGATATTAGACATAATAGTGCAGCACAAAGTGAATAAAGAAAGTTTCAAATTTTCTCGGAGATGTTTTCAAACTGGTCAATGGAGCTCCTTTGATGTGTAGAGATTTATCGTTAGACCAAAACTCTTTTCTCTCCTGTTGGTGAGTTGATTTTAAAATAAAGATTTCGTTTTGATGCGGTTTTTAACAGGTCACCATAAACCTCCCTGTTCTGTGTTGTCAATGAACCCCCCCCCTGTTCTGTGTTGTCAATGAAACGCTCCTCAGATGTGCTGTCAATGAAACCCTCCCTGTTCTATGTTGTCAATGAAACCCTCCCCAGATGTGTTGTCAATGAAACCCTCCCCAGATGTGTTGTCAATGAAACCCTCCCTGTTCTATGTTGTCAATAAAAACCCTCCCCAGATGTGTTGTCAATGAAACCCTCCCTGTTCTGTGTTGTCAATGAAACCCTCCCCAGATGTGTTGTCAATGAAACCCTCACCAGATGTGTTGTCAATGAAACCCTCACCAGATGTGTTGTCAATGAAACCCTCCCCAGATGTGTTGTTAAACGGGTCAATGAATCCTTCCTTCTTGTGCGTGCTTGTTTTCTCTGCCTTTCTTCCTAAGAGTCTCTTTCAGCAGCATTGCCAGGCAGAATCTTTGCCGGGTTATTGCCCCTGGAGGTTTTCACTTGTCTTTTATAGCAGGCCTGTTAAGGGTCTTAAGGAGGATGAAGGAGGACTGGGAGGCTGGGAGCTCATGATTGTCTACGTCTGGGAGGGGGATGTTTCCTTATAGAGATATTTTTGGAAGTGGTGAAGTTTTTGAAGAAAGTTATTTGGGTTGGGGGGGGGGGGGGAGTGTATTTTTTAAAAAGAGTGATTTGAGGAGGGAGGGGAGTTTCTATAAAATGGATCGTTTACAATGTGGTGAAACTTATTTAAAAAGAATCGTAGGATGGGTTACACAGATTAAAAAGGCATTTGTATCGGGAGGTGGGGAGTAGTACACGCGTGCTCAGCAAGTTATTTAGAATGTTTTAATATTAGTGCTGGCTTGTGGGGGGGGGGGGGGGAGGTTCCAGATTAATCTGTAGACTGGGTCAGCGTTGGGCACACGAGATTAGAAAATACTTAGAGCAAACATAATCATCGGTTTGTCTCCAGGCTACAGGGATGTTCACTTATCCCTGTCCACTGGTCATCCTCATCCACCTACTTCATGATATTTACGAGCCTTCTATTCCTGGATCCACCACACGGAACCTTAACATTCTCTCTATCATGTCGTTTATTTCTTGTGTTTCTACTCGCATTAGAATATTTATTGCAAATCTAATCATATTCTTCTTCTTACATAGATCCACCACATTGAACCTTAGCACTCTCTCAGTAACTTATTTTATTAATTGTGTTTGTATGCCCATTAGAAAATGTATTGCAAATCTAATCATATTTTTCTTCTAACAAACAAAAGCCATGGTTTAACTGTGTATATCATTATATCCCTTAGTCTAACCTTTCTCGAATCACAATTTTCGACACTTATTTTAAAAAAATGTGTGTTACGCTCACGTTTGTTTTATCGTTGATCTGGTTCTGTAGTGTATGAAAAAAGCCGCATTTATTTTATACAGAGCAGCGTGAACCTAAGCTAGTGGTCTGTTGGGTCCTACCCTGTCCAGCGCTTGAAGATCTGGTCAGTCCGTTAGTCATACAACCCCTCCTTCATTTGCTTTTCGTATGTTTATGTTTAACTTTTCTATAAATTAAAGACACATATACGTACACCTATTTGCTTACCCATATTTCCGGCAGACATTTTTAAAAAATAAATGACCGCAACGCCCCGCGCTAATACGTTTTTCATATTTATTTTTCGGTTTAACTTTTCTATTATTAAATATCTCCCCCTACACCACCCCGCTTTTGCCCCTTTTGGCTTATTTCTGGAAACGGAAGATTTTAACTTTTTTTTTAAAGGCATATTTCTGTTGGTTTGTGGCTAGCGTCAAGTCCGATGTAACAGCGTAATTTGCAGAGATAAAAAAGGAGGGGAAAAAGTGGAAGGTGCTGTTTGGACAATGGATCGGCTGGATGCCATTGCTAATGGCCAGCGCTTGAGGGTGGCCTCTCGAGATGGCCGGGGCTTAAGGGTGGCCTCTCCAGCGTCTCGAGTGATTTTTAGCCGTAATTGTTTCCTATCCTCGCCCGTGTCCGCTTGCATTACCATCGTCATGTCATTTTGGGCAACAATGCTCGTGAGAGTACCCTACATCCGACACACACCTTCCATCTTTCTCTATATTAGCTAATCACTACCCCAATCAAGTTCTAGATGGATTCATTGTGTACATGACTTTATTAATATGACAATCAATCAATTTCTAAATGGATTCATTGTGTACAGGACTTCATTAATATGACAATCAATCCATTTCTAGATGGATTCATAGTTAACATGACTTTATGACTATGACGATCAATCAAGTTCTAGCTGGATTCATACTGTACATGACTTTATTAATATGACAAACGAATAGCTTACATTTAGTATTTAGGTGTGCGTAGCCGTGTGGGACATTGGAATTTATGAGCTAAAATAATCTCTGTTCTGTTATACTGTGTTGTTTGTTTGAGGTCCCGAAAAATATACTCCAATTAAGGGATCAGTATTTAATCAGTTGTATCAATGTAAATGTTGTGTGTTAATTGATTTAGCAGTTGCAGTTTGGTGTGTAATAAGTCACGTTGTAAATATCATAAACAACTGAAGTGTACATCCTTCTAAAATACCTTGACCTTTCTATTTGAGCGGGTACCTTGTATGGTGTCAAACAAAAAAAGTTATCGTGAAAGGAGACTTAGACGAGCACTTAATCCGTACTCTCGTGCAGCGTTTAGTAGGGCGTGGTTAAAAGCTTTGGGTCAGCTGGTCTCAGGTCAGAAGTAAAGCTTTGGGTTTGACCATAATTATTGAGGTATTGGTGGGGTTCGGGGTGTGTGTGGGTTTCATGAGGTATGGGTGGGGGCTTGGGGTTTGTGTGGTTTTGTGGGTTTCATGAGGTATGGGTGGAGGTTCAGGGTGTGTGTGGTTTTGTGGGTTTCATGAGGTATGGGTGGAGGTTCAGGGTGTGTGTGGTTTTGTGGGTTTCATGAGGTATTGGTGGGGTTCGGGATGTGTGTGGTATTGTGGGTTTCATGAGGTATTGGTGGGGTTTGGGATGTGTGTGGTTTTGTGGGTTTCATGTCGACTTTTGCTAATCCGTCTAGCCTACAGCAGGGCTCTGAGATATATGCACCAATCATGTCATTGGACAGCAACCACAACACGGACGCCTTTAGCTAGTTTTCCGATGGGAACCAATTCACTAGCGCTGGTGATAGAGAAATTTCGTTTAGATCTATATCAAAAATGTTTTTTTTTTACTTTTCCATATTAGTCTGTGCTTTTTCTATCATAGGAGATTGTTTTTGCTTCGTTATCTTCGTTTAAATTAAAAGAAATGACAACAAGGGGAGACCATACTAGGTGTGATATATCGTATAATAAACAAAATATAATCAATATTGAAGTAGCTGGTGGTAACTGTCTCTAGGTAATTGAAAAACAAGAAGAAACTCTGTGTCACAAGAACCCCGCAGTTTTCAAATATTCCCCCATTTTGTCAGCTGATTATGATTGATCCTGATACACTGTACACTTGGATGATACTTGCCTGTGTCGCTTTCTGTCCCAGAATTCCACATTTAGCAAAAGGATAAGAGATTTAACCTAGTTCCGTCCTACAAGAGACACAGTGAGAGCAGCGGATCAGTAGCGTATTGATGTATCGATTAGCGTGTATAAACCGTTTTACTCACGAGTTGATTCTTTGTGGCACGTGAGGAGACCACGACTGGGGGCTCACAACCTGAGTATTGGGGCGCTGAAAACCTGAGTATTGGGGCGCTGAAAACCTGAGTATTGGGGCGCTGAAAACCTGAGTATCGGGGCTCTCATAACCTGAGTATTTGGGGCGCTGAAAACCTGAGTATTGGGGCGCTGAAAACCTGAGTATTGGGGCGCTGAAAACCTGAGTATTGGGGCGCTGAAAACCTGAGTATTGGGGCGCTGAAAACCTGAGTATTGGGGCGCTGAAAACCTGAGTATTGGGGCGCTGAAAACCTGAGTATTGAGGCGCTGAAAAACTGAGTATTGGGGCGCTGAAAACCTGAGTATTGGGGCGCTGAAAACCTGAGTATTGGGGCGCTGAAAACCTGAGTATTGGGGCGCTGAAAAACTGAGTATTGGGGCGCTGAAAACCTGAGTATTGGGGCGCTGAAAACCTGAGTATCGGGGCTCTCATAACCTGAGTATTTGGGGCGCTGAAAACCTGAGTATTGGGGCGCTGAAAACCTGAGTATTGGGGCGCTGAAAACCTGGGTATTGGGGCGCTGAAAACCTGAGTATTGGAACGCTCATAATCTGAGTATTGGGGCGCTCATAACCTGAGTATTGGGGCGCTTTATCCTGAGACTTTGAGGGCTGGAAACTGGAGTGTTGGGGCGCCCAAAATCTGTGACTTTGGGGGCTCGAAATGTAGTGAGTACACAAAACCCGACTGTTGGACGTACAACTTGTGGTGTTGTTGTCGTGATGGCAAAAATAAGACTCAGAGGCCGTTTATAATATGACGGATATTTGTCTGAACGTTATAATATAACGGATATTTGTGACTTTGTCTGAACGTATTATTTGTTGCATGGGTGTTCTATAGAAGAAAGGCGAAATAGTCCATTGTTGCCTACTTTTGATCTTCCCCCCCCCCCCCCCCCCCAAATCATCCATCCGCAGTTGTCATGAGTGAGGTATCCATTAAGTATCTAAGTCCCATAAGTCTACAGGTCCATGCAGAGATGACCCACGCCACTAAGGTCAAGTTGTTGTCTGTCCATGCGAGAGACATCTAAATTACCCTCTCGCTAGAATCATTTAATTATAGACGTTAATTAGAAATTTAAAAGAATTTTTTTTCTTGCTTGGGCTCATAGAGATTTAAATTAAATTGAAAATCTCCTCCTCCTTCCCTCCCCTAAAAGTTTAAATCCTATGGTTCAATAGAAAGGGCGAGTGTTTAGGGACTCTAAAACGTGACCAAACGTCCGCTTCCTGCAATGTCATTCTGGCCCTGAAGGAAGTTTTTTTTTTAATCTAGCTGTAAAAAAAAATGAACGGTCGGGTTTTTAAGATGCTCTTGCGGTTGTCTGGAATGGTGGGGTGTGGAGGGGAAGTGAGATGGCGGTGGGGAGTAAGCTTTGCCCCCCCCCCCTTGTCTTTGATTCTTATCTAAAACGTGGCTGTCACTCTAAAACCTGGGTGTAGCCACGTTATTGGAAGTTTTTCCTCCTCGTTTCTTTATCACTGCTTCACCACAAGCCCATCGGCCTGAACTGTTTGATGACGTTTACCATATACACTTTCTCTTTAGGAACAAATGTTACATGTTTACTAGTTTAAGCTGTAACATTCGCACCATATATATTTGTGTTGTGTAGCCCCCTTAGTATAACTAAAAAAAAAATTGCTCTATAGAATGTCTTAGAGGCTTTGTCAAACACGCTGAGGCTACCTGTAGGAACATGTCAACACTAGCAATTGTAAATTGATACGTTAGTGGTGGTACCTATTGAGGTCTAACACTATGTTGATAGGACAATGGTAACTGTTGAGGTGTAACATACACCCTGTTTACTGGGTTGTGTTACCAGTTGAAGTGTAAGACAATGTGACTGGGTTGTGGTACCTTTTGATTGTTGAAGTGTAAGGTGTAACAACGTGAGATTGGGGTGGAGAAAGACAAAACTTCTTGTAACCATAGCGGTGTAAAATAGAATAAAACGTAAGTTATTCTTTCCCACCTATTTATATTGGTCAGTAAGGGGACGGGGTGTTTTTTATAACGTCAATGATTTTAAGAGCAGCTAAAAATATATGAAGAGCGATACAATAACATTTACTTTGGAGCTATCGATTTAGTCATTACGATTGTAATTAAACCGAACAGTTAAGAAAGCGCTATACTCATGCAATCACTCAACGTGGACCACTAAAGATTGGAGCGACGTAATTAGCTCATTTTAAAAGTCATTGTGCCCAGACGTGATTTATGGAATGCTGCAAGTAATTAACCCGATATGCTGCAAGTAAATAACACGATATGCTGCAAGTAATTAACACGATATGCTGCAAGTAATTAACACGATATGCTGCAAGTAAATAACACGATATGCTGCAAGTAATTAACACGATATGCTGCAAGTAATTAACACGATGTGCTGCAAGTAATTAACACGATATGCTTCCAGTAATTAACACGATGTGTTGCAAGTAATTAACACGATATACTGCAAGTATACATAAAAGAGATATGACTAAAACAGCAAATTCCACTCTTCGTGCCCTATAATGGATCATTCATTTAACACTTAGATCTATATTTGTCTATTGTTTTTCTTCATTGGAATAGGAGCCTATAAGGTTACATTTTTGTAGTTAAAAAATCCCCTATCTCTACCAAATTCTAGGCCCTAACCTAAAAATGACATCGACAAGCTGTAGATTTTCAGCAAAGACCAATATAAAGGAAAAGTACGATTGATTAAAGATTTCACCCCGGTGTAAATCCTTTCTTCATAATCGCACCATATATTTCATTCTATAAATAGATCTTGTTTTATTTTCTCTTCTCCAGGAACGATTGCTGTTGTCTGTTTTACCGCGGCATGTTGCCATGGAGATGAAAGCGGATATTGCAGGCAACAAGAAGGAAGCCATGTTCCATAAAATCTACATCCAGCGTCACGATAACGTCAGGTATGGGCATCGTGGTTTGTTTTTTGTTTTTTCATTATTTTGAATTTTTTTTTCAAGCACCAGACGTCTGGCTAGCATCCCAAGATCATGTCAACAGAACACGTACCCACACGACAAATGGCCGCAGACATTTATTTAACTTGGGGTTCGGTGCTAAGCGCTGAAAATACAAAAGCCCTGCCTTCTCCATTTCCACGAACCTCCCCAGCCATTGAGCAGCTACTGTGAATGTCTGACATAGTCCTGTATCGCCTAACCCCCTCCCCTCCCACACACAACCCCAACCACCTTCAAGCAACTGCTTAGGTAACGTGGGAAAGACGCCCCCACCCCCTTTACCGTTGTACTTTCCGAAGTATTTCTCGGTCTTTTTCCTCTCCACCCCTATACTCCCCCACCCCCACGGTACCTTTCTGTACGTACGTAGGATGGCACGACCCAACCCCATTCCCCCCCCCCCCCCCCCCATCCCACTAAAACTGTTGTACTAACGGAGGTACTTGGCACCCGTCCCCGGGGAAATCTGATCTCCTTAGACCAGCATTGACCAAACAGCGCTTGAGTGATACACTTGGATAATGTCCCCTTACTATTGGGGGCTAGCGTGTGACACAGAACAACACTATGGCTTTGTCTGAATCAGGTCTATCGTTGTTTGTTTTTTTCCTTTTGCTTGGTTACCTCCCTTGAAATATGATTTCAATTTAAAATGTAAAACAAACATGATGTGGGTTCACATCTAACCAGTGAACGTTTGTGTAAGGAAACAGAGCCGCGTTAGGTGTGTAATGTTAGATTGTAATTATCTCCATTTAATAAGACAGGAAAATAATTATACTCTAGCTGATTGTTTTCATCAACTTCTCATCAAGGTTAATTTGATATTCCTGCCGGCTGCGTCACATTGATTCCGATTGTGAAAGAAAAGTTACAGGCAAAATGTTGATTCCGATTGTGAAAGAAAAGTTACAGGCAAAATGTTGATTCCGATTGTGAAAGAAATGTTTGAGGCAAAATGTTGATTCCGATTGTGAATGAAAAGTTTCAGGCAAAATGTTGATTCCGATTGTGAAAAAAAGTTACAGGCAAAATGTTGATTCCGATTGTGAAAGAAAGTTACAGGCAAAATGTTGATTTCGATTGTGAAAGAAATGTTACAAGCAAAATGAAAAGTCAACGTTTTGACGTAGAAACGAGTCGACATTCGACTGTTAGAAGCCGTCAACTGCCGTGTTTGTGTGTACGTGCAGACCTGCTGCTGATTGGTGAGATTGTGTCCCCGTCACATAGTACTCACTGTTTAACCGTTGGTTAAATAACAAAATAGACGACCTCGACCTTGGTCTACGTCATGATTCAGGGGCATCACTGTCAAGGTCACACTCAGCCAGTTTTCATTCGGACAGCCCAACCGTTTTATGTCGGCTGCTAATTACTTTTTGTTTTAATCAATGTTACTCAGACGCGAGACTATCTGTACAAAAATAAAACTACACCAATGGAAGTTCGATCATCAGCGATGTGTTATTGAACGGATATCTGAAGGTTACTTGGACAACCCCTCGCACCTCTTTAACCCCTCCCCCCCCCTTTCCTACCCGCGGGCTCCACTTTTCATTAAAAGTGCTGTCTTATCGACAAAGTACACGGATTGTAGGGGACCGCTCAAACGAACATGGACACATAGTTAATGGAAGGAAGCTTATCGCTGGATGGTACTGATGGTGTTAGGATGGTCTTGCTCTTGTCAGGATGGTAGTGCTGGTGTCGAGGTAGTAGTGATTTTGTCGGGGTGGACGGTGGTACTGCTGGTGTGGGGTGGTACTGATGATGTCGGGGTGGTACTGATGGTGTCTGGATGGTACTGCTGGTGTCGGGGTAGTAGTGATTGTGTCGGGGTGGTATTGATGGTGTCGGGGGTAGTGCTGGTGTCTGGTACTGATGGTGTCTGGATGGTAATGATGGTGTCGGGATGGTACTGCTGGTGTCGGGGTAGTGCTGTGTCTGGTACTGATGGTGTCGGGGTGGTACTGATGGTGTCGGGGCAGTACTGATGATTGTTGTTGTTTTTTTGGCGTGGTACCGCATTGAATACATGAGTAACGATGCGACCCATTCATGCTACTTAAAGGTCTACGATAAATACTTATGATTTGTTAACCTGTATCATGTTAGTTTAGAACAACTGTAGTTTAACTGTTCACTATTCTGTAAAATGGACACATCATTTACCATTATCGTACGCTCCTACTCTTCCTGAAGCAGTACCCTTAGACACCACATCCTCCTCGCTAAGACACCACATCATCCTCCCTAGGCACCACATCATCCCATCCTAAGACACCACATCATCCCATCCTAAGACACCACATCACATTCACCCAAAGACACCACATCACATTCACCCAAAGACACCACCTCATCCCACCCTAAGACACCACATCATCCCATCCAAAGACACCACATCACATTCACCCAAAGACGCCACATCATCCTACCCAAAGACACCACATCTTCCCACCCTAAGACACCACATCATCCCACCCTAAGACACCACCTCATCCCACCCTAAGACACCACCTCATCCCACCCTAAGACACCATATCATCCCATCCAAAGACACCACATCACATTCACCCAAAGACGCCACATCATCCTACCCAAAGACACCACGCCCTCCTAACCCTAAGACACCACCTCATCCCACCCTAAGACACCACATCATCTCATCCTAAGACACCACACCATCCCACCCTAAGACACCAGCTCATCCCACCCTAAGACACCACCTCATCCCACCCTAAGACACCACATCATCTCATCCTAAGACACCACACCATCCCACCCTAAGACACCAGCTCATCCCACCCTAAGACACCACATCATCCCACCCTAAGACACCACATCATCCCACCCTAAGACACCACACCATCCCACCCTAAAACACCAGCTCATCCCACCCTAAGACACCACATCATCCCACCCTAAGACACCACATCATCCCACCCTAAGACACCACATCATCCCACCCTAAGACACCACATCATCCCACCCTAAGACACCACATCATCCCACCCTAAGACACCACATCATCCCACCCTAAGACACCACATCATCCCACCCTAAGACACCACACCATCCCACCCTAAGACACCACATCATCCCACCCTAAGACACCACATCATCCCACCCTAAGACACCACATCATCCCACCCTAAGACACCACATCATCCCACCCTAAGACACCACATCATCCCACCCTAAGACACCACATCATCCCACCCTAAGACACCACATCATCCCACCCTAAGACACCACATCATCCCACCCTAAGACACCACATCATCCCACCCTAAGACACCACATCATCCCACCCTAAGACACCACATCATCCCACCCTAAGACACCACCTCATCCCACCCTAAGACACCACATCATCCCACCCTAAGACACCAGCTCATCCCACCCTAAGACACCACATCATCCCACCCTAAGACACCAGCTCATCCCACCCTAAGACACCACACCATCCCACCCTAAGACACCACACCATCCCACCCTAAGACACCACATCATCCCACCCTAAGACACCACATCATCCCACCCTAAGACACCACATCATCCCACCCTAAGACACCACATCATCCCACCCTAAGACACCACACCATCCCACCCTAAGACACCACATCATCCCACCCTAAGACACCACCTCATCCCACCCTAAGACACCACATCATCCCACCCTAAGACACCAGCTCATCCCACCCTAAGACACCACATCATCCCACCTTAAGACACCAGCTCATCCCACCCTAAGACACCACACCATCCCACCCTAAGACACCACATCATCCCACCCTAAGACACCACATCATCCCACCCTAAGACACCAGCTCATCCCACCCTAAGACACCACACCATCCCACCCTAGGACACCACCTCATCCCACCCTAAGACACCACATCATCTCATCCTAAGACACCACACCATCCCACCCTAAGACACCAGCTCATCCCACCCTAAGACACCACCTCATCCCACCCTAAGACACCACATCATCTCATCCTAAGACACCACACCATCCCACACTAAGACACCAGCTCATCCCACCCTAAGACACCACATCATCCCACCCTAAGACACCAGCTCATCCCACCCTAAGACACCACATCATCCCACCCTAAGACACCACATCATCCCACCCTAAGACACCACATCATCCCACCCTAAGACACCACATCATCCCACCCTAAGACACCACATCATCCCACCCTAAGACACCACATCATCCCACCCTAAGACACCACATCATCCCACCCTAAGACACCACACCATCCCACCCTAAGACACCACACCATCCCACCCTAAGACACCACATCATCCCACCCTAAGACACCAGCTCATCCCACCCTAAGACACCACATCATCCCACCCTAAGACACCACATCATCCCACCCTAAGACACCACATCATCCCACCCTAAGACACCACATCATCCCACCCTAAGACACCACACCATCCCACCCTAAGACACCACATCATCCCACCCTAAGACACCACATCATCCCACCCTAAGACACCACATCATCCCACCCTAAGACACCACACCATCCCACCCTAAGACACCACATCATCCCACCCTAAGACACCACATCATCCCACCCTAAGACACCACACCATCCCACCCTAAGACACCACATCATCCCACCCTAAGACACCACATCATCCCACCCTAAGACACCACATCATCCCACCCTAAGACACCACATCATCCCACCCTAAGACACCACATCATCCCACCCTAAGACACCACACCATCCCACCCTAAGACACCACATCATCCCACCCTAAGACACCACATCATCCCACCTTAAGACACCACACCATCCCACCCTAAGACACCACATCATCCCACCCTAAGACACCACATCATCCCACCCTAAGACACCACATCATCCCACCCTAAGACACCACACCATCCCACCCTAAGACACCACACC